CCCCCTCTCCTTGCTGCTGCCAGTGAGGGAGGAGGCTGGAGGGAAGGGCTGCGGGTCCCGGGAACCTGGAGTCTGAGGTTTGGGGCGGCCGGATGTAGACTTAGGAACAGCGCTCGGCCCCCAGACCAAGCCAGCAGCGGATCAGCCACCTGCCAGGAGCTCAGGTTAGTGGAGGTGCAATCTCAACCTCTAACCCCCATGACCCGAGGAGCCCCCTGCACCCACAAGCCCAGTTCCTGCTCCTCGGGGTGAGGGGAGGTGGGGGGTGGTGGTCAAGATCCCTTATCAGTCCTGGGCCTCCAGCCCCCGGTTCTGTTTGGGGCGTCTCCTCCTGTCGCCTCCGCGCGCACACACAGGTTCACCTGGGAGAGGAGTTGCAACACAGTCAAACCGTGGAATTTACATGTGGGCCTGAGAGGCGGAGGCAGCGAGGCTGCAGGATGTGGGGACCAGGTGCTGGGCCCTGGACGATTGCTCTCTTTGGAAATCACCCCCCTCCCACACCCCCAAATCCCAAACCTCCAGCTTCTCCACCCTCACGCCCCCGAGCGAGCGCAAAGCCTCAGGCCCCTGATTCCTTCGGGCAGCGCCTCCCCGAGGCTCCCCGGGCTCTGAGCTCCTGCTCACTCACCTCTTCCCCCCGCAGCCATGTGGACCCCGGGCCGCCGTCACCTGTGTCCGACTTTCCTGCTGGTTTGTGTGCTGGCCGGACTCTCCTTCCTCCACCTCTACCGGGGCCTCTTCCAGGGCGGCCTGGACCTGTCTTTCCTGTGTGCAGACCGACACCTGGGGGCGGCCCCCGTTGCCATCTTCTGCCCATCGGGCGCTTACCTGGCCCTCAACACCTCCCCATCCTGTGCCCAGCTCCCCGTGCCCCCCTCGGGGGCCTGGACCATCATCCCAGACGGCCGGCTTGGTAACCAGATGGGGCAGTACGCCACTCTGCTGGCCCTGGCCCGGCTCAACAGCCGCCAGGCCTTCATCCTGCCCACCATGCACGCGGCCCTGGCCCCCGTGTTCCGCATCACCCTGCCCGTGCTGCTGCCCGAGGTGGACAGCCGCACGCCCTGGGAGCGCCTGGAGCTGCACGACTGGATGTCGGAGGAGTACGCCCGCTTGCCGCAGCCTTTCCTGAAGCTGTCGGGCTTCCCCTGCTCCTGGACTTTCTTCCACCACCTCCGGGAGCAGATCCGCCGGGAGTTCACCC